CACACATTAGAGAGTCAGGTTTTAAGAGATGAGAGATTATCAAATAACTTTTCCGGCGTGTTGGCTTCCAAAGTAGGTCAGGGTAGTTGTACGAGGTTTTGCCAACTTTGGTGAACATCCCCGCCTCTCCAACTTCAGCGCAGGCGTGTAGCTTCTCTCTTCATTGCAGCACACAACTGAACTTCTTTCTCTCTCCATTTAATCTTCAGCGTAGCTTCTCTCGATCTTTGACTCAACTTCTCTTGTGGGCAACTCTCTGCTGCGGCTAAGGTGATTTCATAATCTCATTGCTTCATATTCTACAATGGAAACTTCAAATTTTATCTTCTCCTTCTTCAGCTCTGCTGAATTTTGAGTAGTTGGAAATGGAAACCTGAGAGTCCTTTTATTTAATAGATATAAAACAGTAACAAACTTAATTAACCCACACATAATATTATAATTAAGGTGGCCTTCTGCTATCGGTGATCCGGATCTTATCATTACACCCCTCTCTGAAAGACATCTTGTCCTCAAGGTGGAAGTCTGGATGTTGGTGTTGCATTAAGTCGTTCAGATTCAAAGGTGATTCTTCCTCTACTCCTAACTGCAACTTAAGATACACCATTGAATTTAATCTAATGCTTTGATCACCTTTCGAGATGCCTTGTAATTTATATCACTTTCTATCAACCCAAAAAATCAGAAACATTAACCATTTGATTTCTAGAACCATATCAGATCCAGCTATTGGAAATGGGTAAAAATCTTTGTAAAGAGTCAAACCTGGAAGCTTAACTGAGAGACTCGCAAATCTTATCTCACTGAATAATAAAACCGTCTCCTATCTATACCCCAAATGTGTGAACAATGGAAACAAGTAGCTTAAGTTGCTGCACAAGTTTTTCAGAGATGAAGTTGTGTGTCGAACCGCTATCAATTAACAAGAAAACTTCCTGTCCATGTACTTTTCCACTTAATTTCATTGTGGCGGATGTTGGCGTCCCCAGAATTGCATTAAAGGACCCTTCCTCCTCTTTTGCCTCCCCATCAATGGGAACGTGTTTGGGATTCATCAGGTGACCTTCCTCATCAACTTCCATCAACGAGAAGGTAGTGGATGAAGTCGAACGATGATGACCCGGCCTAAAGGGATTGCCACACCGATAGCAAAGTCCCTTATCCCTGCATTGCTGCTTCAACGACTCATCCCTACTAAATCTTGAAACCGACAAGGTTGGTGTTGAGCCTGAAGATCCTGAGAATGCATGTAGCTGGGGCGAGTGAGATTGAACAAGTTTTTTACCTCTCGGTTTGGGTCAATGGTAGAATCTGAACCAGCACCCCGGACTGATCCCATAGAACTTGTCTTGAAATGCAGAGGTGTATTCCGTTTCTCACACTCAAGGGCTAGACTAGAAGCCCTGAACACATATTTGGATTTGGGGATTCTGACCTCCGACAATCCTCTCTCAAACCAGCAATAAAGACACCCAAGAGACAATGGTCAGGCCAACTTCGGACTCGAGCAACCCTTCTCGCCCACTCTTGTGGATAGTTGTGTACGGAGCCTGTTTGTTTGATTAAGACAAGGTGTTCGTCTGGGTTCGAGTATTCTGGCGGTCCATAATGCTCCTCAATGGTTTTGATGCACTCTTCCCAGTACATGAGTGTCCTCAATGATATTGATGCACTCCTCCCAATACATGAGTGTCCTTTCAGCATTGATCCAGGAGAACAAGTCGAGAGCGTCACCCTCCAGGTGCATGGCCGCTATCTCAACCTCATCTTCTTCTGATGTTCCATAGTAACGGAAGTACTTTTCAGCCTTCAACACCCAGCCCCATGGATCTCTGCCGCTGAGTTTAGGGAACTCAACTTTGTATCTGGGAATCCGGCGGTGGCTGTGATCATTTTCTTCATCAGAATCGTCAATATTCTGCTTCATCTTCGTCTTCCCAGAGTTATTTCTGGCATGTGCTTTCAAGGTACTCACTTCTTCATTGAGGTCATCTAACACTGAAAGCTTGGCAGCGATTTGTGCTAGAGTGTTGTTCTGCAGACTAACTTTGTTTGCTGGTTGCTCGTTGGTCCACCATCCTCACTGTGGGCAGCGTTTGCACGAGTAATTGCCATAGGGATCGAGTAACGAGTGCTATGATACCAAATGATATAAACCTACTAGAATTAATTCTGGATCTAAATTAAGACTAAATAGAACTCTCCCTTCCTTCTCTTAATAAGTATCTCATTGATGAAAAAGGAATAGAAGCCGAGAGAATCTCAATGTGATTAATGGTTTATTTTCTGGGTATCTCAGCAATAGAGAAGCTGGGATATTTATAACTCTAACAAACTGATAAGATCAAAATTAACAAACTGATCTGATAAGATCAAACAACAAAGTGATAAGTTCTAACTAACTAAGCTATCCTACAACTAACCAAGCTAACGTGAGAGTCCTTTTATTTAATAAATATAAAACAGTAACAAACTCAATTAACCCACTCATAATCATATAATTAAGGTGGCCTTCTGCTATCAGTGATCCAAGTCTTATCACGGGTGGTGATTCGCAGTGGCCCTTGTGTGTTGAGGATGACGGTGCTTGTGCATTGAGGATGACAAACATTGTGTGATGTGCGATGATGGGGATGGAAAGGGGCAGAAGACAAATTCAAGGAAGAGAGACAGAAATTGTCCTCTAAAAATAAAGGTGAAGATAAATTCAATATTTTGGCTTTATTTTCCATTTGATCTCCTTCTATTTTCCATTGACTTTGTTCCCATACACCGAAAAATGGGGAAAATGACTTTTGAGAAATGGACCCTAATAGAGATAACAATTGAGAAAGAAATTGTTACGCTAGGAGTTACGAGATTTACACCAAGTATCCTCACTTTCCAAAGCATGTAAAAGCACAATAATGTGTTGCAAAACTTGTCCCTCAGCAAGGATTGAAGTAGTTCTAAGTTGGCCAATGCAGTGGCTGAGAAAAGATACAGTGTACGTGACATTGTACTTTCTTCTCGATTCTTGGAGGTTGTGGAAAATTTTATGAGGGCATCACAACCTCTTCCAATTGTGTTGAGGATTGTTGATGGGGACGAATAGTCGAGAGGTTATGGCCACTATGGATGTTGTTAAGGGTAAACTTAATTACTCATTTTCCAACAAACAAGCATTGCAAAAAACGTGATGGATATTATTGAGACATGATGAGTTAAATAAATAGAGCAAAAAATTTATGCGGCCGCATGTATTCTAAACTTTGCAAATGTCTTTTGCTCAAAAAGAATGATCTGGTCTATGCATATAAGCACTTCCGGTGTTATTTAGTGAGATTGTGGAAAAAATGACATTGGGTGATGATAGTTTACACATGAAGATTAGTTAGCAAGCCCGTGATTATGATGAAAAAGAAGAGTTTTTGGAAAATATACCGATTAAACAACAATCAATAAGATGCCTAGTAAGTATTTTCAAATTCATTAATATTTATGGAAGTGTAAAATACTTCAATGATAAATTTAGGTTTTAATATACTCCGAAGTTGTAGGCATTTGCAAGGAGAATTATTGATCTTTGTTGTTCGTCATCTGCATGTGAACATAATTGGAGTTTCTTTGAATTAATAAGTAATTAACATTTATATAGTACAGAGTATTTGATATGGGGTATAATGGTAGTACGTACAATATTTTACTTGCAACAACAACTCACTTCGATCCCTTGAATATTAACTATATTTTTTTAATTAGATACACTCAAAAAAACGGAACCGACTAGAATATCAAAGATTGAATGATTTGGTTCACATTAAATATAATCATAAGATAGCTGTTCAGTTTAAAGGGCGTAGTGAACAAGGTAATAGCTTTAATGCTTTGACTTTAATTAAGTTCCAATGAAATAATGTACGGTTTGATGCTAGTGATGAAGTTGTTCACATGGGAGATTATCCTTTGTGGAGTACGTCTAACAATCCTGAGCGTAGTAAGGGGTCGCCTTGACGTCGTGGCGGTATAGAGCTCACGCCATGGAACCTTGCCTCTCCATATTTCACCTAGTTAAGTTTGGTGTCACCTAACCAGTCAGCCGCCAAAAGACACCTAGCGGCTAAGAAAGGAGGCCGGCCCGAGATTCAAACACCCTAATCTATAGCCTTCGGATTTCAGATCTGAAAATCCCAGCGTATTGCCACCAACTGGGCATAGATCTATCGCCACTGCTTTGGCCCGTTGGAAGTAGACCTTTCACTGTTGCTGTCGTCGTCACATGCGTTTGTGGCTGCCACTCAAACAATGCCTGCCTGTTTCATCGTGTTGATCCTTCGACTTCCTTCCATTCTTTGTTTTCTTTAATTATCTGATTTATCTATCTTTTTGGGCTGGGATGGGCAAGGGATCAGTGATGGATCTGGATTGGATGCCAATTTTTCTCATATACACACACACACACAGAGTATATTAAAGAATTAAAAATACTTGGTACAGTGCTTGAGTTCTGTTTTATTTTATAATATTAAGCCATCATTTTGGAGCACCACTCTTTTTTTTTTTGAAAATTACCTTTCTAAATTTCTGTTTTTTAAACTTATGTTTCAAAGTTGTTTTTAATTTATTTTAAACTTTGTTGAGTATGCATTTTGTTGCTTATGGACGACTTAACTTAAAATTTTATAAATCACAGAGTACAAAAAATTAATATGTACTCCGTGATAAAGTTATACTCATATCAATGTTAGTAATGTACAACAATCTCATTTATTACGACGTTGCCTAATTGTTGCCTAGGCGGTTGTGTAGGCGACCGGGTGGTATACTGGTGTCGCACATTGCCTTGGCGCTGTGATAATTGTGATCCTGAGGGGCACTATTGAATGTGTGAATATATCAAATGGCAAATGTTTAGATTGTTTAACATCATCGTGGTGCGTCGACATCTTCTACGACGTTCGTGGGTGCTGCAGTAGAAAATAAAATTGAACCTTTTCTGAATGATGATGAAAACATTGATGATGATTATGGACAGACGACTCCCACTACCAATGAGACGACAAAGGAAAAAAGTCGTCATGATGGCATAATGTTGGATTATGATATTTGATACCTCAAAATATGCACTTGAATGTTTTTGATAAGTTGTTTGTGTGCTTGTGCTCTTTGTTAGTTTCTTGCTCTGGAAGTTGAAGGATATTGTTTTCTTATATACTCTTCTTTGTAAATATGTATTTACGTGCTACCTTGAAACTTAGTTTTGTTAAGATAAATGATATTTCATCTATTAAAAATGTGGTTATTTTTAGTCAATTAGTGATATATTTACTTTTTTGTTTTTTATAGAATGTATTACTACACACTTATTATGATTTGTCGACTGATCCTCGACTAGGCTGACCGGTTAAACCAACTTGTAATTCCACATTATATGTTGGCCTAGATGCTGCCATTTCAGGATTTTGTAACGTTGTAAGCATCATAGTTTATAAGGCATCGCCTAGGCGATAAGGCGCTATCCCTTGGATGCCTAGTCTGCTTGCCTCGCCCGAAAAACCTCAAGGCGTCGCCTTGGGCCCCTTTAAAATTTTAAAATGTTTAAAAAGATTTGACTTAAACTTGTGACCTACGATACACACACACACACACAGAATCTAAGTACTCTGTCAATTCTACGATGAGAATAAGTAGAATCAAAGAATCGGCTTTTCACAATCAAATCCAAATGGCTCCTAATATTGGTGGAGCACATTGATTGTTTTTGGTACCTGCTTCTAATTCAGACTTAATTTACTACATCTATATTTATGCAGGCATATGTCTTATCAAAGTACCCATTGTATTTTTCTTTTCTAATATCGACATTGGGCATCTTACCATATGCTTGACCAAGTGCACATCAATTTACCCTTAACATACAAAAGACTGAATAATAATCTTTTCTTATAATTTTAGAGAAGGGGTAGGGCGGGTCGTGTGCAGCCTGGCGAGTGCTACCACTTATATCCACGATGTGTTTATGAAGCTTTTGCTGAGTATCAATTACCTGAACTTCTGAGAACTCCTCTAAATTCACTTTGCCTGCAAATAAAGAGTTTGCAAGTTGGAATTATTGCTGAATTTCTGTCTGCGGCTCTTCAATCACCAGAGCCATTGGCTGTAAGTAATTACTCGTCTGTATGACGTGTGAAATGTTACATGTGTTCAATGCTATATTGAAAAATTCTCCTATCACACTTTTTTATTTGTATTTTGTACTAATATTCTGCATATTCTCTTACCTTATTCTAAAGTTTTGATTGATAGTATTTGATAAGTGATTAAAATTGATCATGATTGAGGGACCTTTGTCACCTCATACAAGACGTTTCCTTTTAATTTTTGTCATTGTTGGGATACATTTTGAGAAACATACCACTTTATATCGAGGATGTGGTTAGTCTTCATATATATGACGTGTTGTTATCATTTGTCATGTACAAATGATCCCAAATAACTGTGTTGATTTTTATTAGAGTGCATTAAGCCTAAGCACCACCTTGTGTTTTTCATAAACTGTCATCTTTTAATAGCTTCTCCCAAAAATATCAACCACGAAATTCTTTTCTTATAAAGGACAAGAGAAGGTGATTTTTGGGCGGACAACATATGAATGTAGGAAGTTCTTTGAGGGACGGGAGGAGTATACTACTGTCAGTATAAATGATTTAGGATCAAGAACTATTGTGGTAATTGTGTGAACTTTCAAAAAAAATACAGTAGGACTAAATGGGAGTTGGCAGGGTCGGCTGTTTGGATTGTTATGTTGTTTTGGAATACGAGATGTCTAATTACAATTGCTCAAATATACAGGTCTAAACATCTAATACCTTGTTTTCTATGCACTAAAGCATGTTTTAACTTGAGATCTCAAGGAAATAAAAATTTATGTCATTCAGCATCTCAATTTCATTCGCCTATTGAAAGTTCTTAACATGTCACTAAATACATTCATGCTTTATTCTTTTGGTATTTTGGTATATTGCTAACTGCTGTTGTAATTTGTCACAGGTGCAAAATGCTATCGAGTTTTTGAAGATGATTGGTGCATTAGATGAACACAAAAATCTTACGCATCTCGGTATACATGATCAATGAATATAAAAACTCAAAATAATTACCTGTCTTCCGAAACTTCACAATTTTTTCCTACCACAAAGTTTACCCATTTACTTTTAGGCCCCGTTTGGTGAGTTTTGGAGTGATGATATGATAATGGGTTTTGAAGTCCCAAAGAAATGATATCGGTTTTGAAATCTGAAATGAAAGTGTGGAGAAAACAGAAAAGAAATCAATTCATATTAAAATCTTCAGTGAGCAATTGAAATCAAAATTTAAAAATAGTATTTTGTAGTTCTTACATTAACAATTAAATTCTTGAAGGTTTCTTTTTTTCCATCCTATTCCCAAAATTTTGATCATCTAGAATCAAAAGAAAGAAAGAAAAAGTTGCAGAGGAGAGAGGAATGGGATTGATTGAATCAGAGAGTGCCCCTCACTCGAAACTTGATGCCTGTGATTTTCTTGCGAACAAATAGGAGCAAGACAAAGAGAATCCTGAATTTGCTGCCGCTAGAGACACATCTGCCACAGCCGGCTAGAGGTAGAACCGAGATGCCATTCTCGCTGCTCCAGATTTGAGAAATGGTGGCCTGTGCACATGATAAAGCTTGAGTCAAATTGATTGAATTTAGAATGAAAAAGTGTACATCAAGTCCCAATTTGAGAAGGGAGAGTCTCCAGATTCTCAAAGGAAAATACAATGAAAAATAATCACCCAGAAAATAACATGACTCTAAGTAATAAATCCCACTCCTAGGGGAGTTGGGTAACTGCTACGTAACCCACCCGCTCAGCCACTTAGTGGGTTGTTTGAAATGCTCATTAACATTTTTAGCTGCTGCACTTCTTCCGGCCCGCCCTTTGCCATCTTCTTTTTCCAAAACGACTTGTCCTCAAGTCGAAAGGAAGGGAATTGAGCTCGCAACAGATCATAACACTCCCAGGTAGCTTCCTCCACTGGACGTTGACACCAAGAGATGAGTAATTCCAGCACATGTTGACCTGCTTCCCATACCCTGTGGTGAGAGAGAACTTCTTTAGGCTGCACGTCAAATTCCCAGTCCTTTGTGATGGGGAGGGGAGCAATAGGTGAAGTCGGAACTTGCCCCCTAGCTGGTTTCAGCATTGATACAGGAAACACCGGATGAATGCAAGCATCTTGAGGCAATTCCTACTCATAAGAAACAGGCCCCACCTTGTGTGTAACTTTGTAAGGCCCAAAGAACCGGGGAAAAAGCTTATCATATCGCCGTTTAGCCAAGCTTTTTTTGCCTATAGGGTTGTATCTTTAGAAACACCACATCCCCTACTTCAAATGAGAGTTCTCTGTGTTTTGTACCAGCTTGAGATTTCATTCGATCTTGAGCTTTTTGCAGATTCTGTTTTAAGATTTTCAGCATATCATCCCTGGTTATCAGTTGATCTTCTAACTCAGCATTCTTAGTTTCCCCAGCGATGTAAGGATGGAAGGGAGGAGGGTCACGACCATAAACTGCCGAGAAAGGAGTGGTGTTGATGGCAGTGTGAAACCCAGTATTGTAGGAGTACTCGGCCCATGACAGAAGCGAACTCCATTTGTGAGGCTGCTCCTGAGCAAAGCAACGAAGGTAAGCCTCTAAGAATCGATTGAGGACTTCAGTTTGGCCATCCGTTTGGGGTGGTAACTAGTACTCAACTTCAAAGTGGTTTGACTGAGGCGAAAGAGCTCCTGCCAGAAGTGACTCAGAACTATCACATCCCTATCAGAGATAATAGATCGTAAAAAACCATGAAGACGAACAATTTCCTTGCAAAACACAGCAGCAACTCCTTTGGCTGTAAATGGATGAGTGAGAGGCAAAAAGTGTGTTAGGTAACCACGGTTGGGAGGACAGCGGAAATACAAAAATTTAATCTCTCAATAGTGATTACTAGCCCAAGAACACGTACTAAAACTATAGCTAGAGATAGAAAGTTATACCTTCTCCGGTAAAGCGGTATGAACGAGAAGTCGAGCAAAAGGTGTTGATGGAGCAAACGTAGCCGTTCAAGCGTCCGGCCTCCAACTTTGACACACGAACAATCTCCGGAGTCTACTATAATCTTTATGCTAGTAAAGATTATAATAGTATATTAAAATATAAAGATTTAAGAGGGATAATATTAATCTTGTATATTAAATAGTAGAAAATATATGAATAATATTTTAAATAAAATATTATATCAATTTTCTACACCCAAAATAATAACTTTGGAACTCAAAATGTTTTTCCCCTTTCTCTCTACTTGGCCGAAAACCTCTTAATGGGAAAGTGAATGAGCTTTCATTTTATTAAAGTATAAAAGGCAATAACAATAATAAAAGGACAAAACACTTTTGTCAAAGTGTCCTCCTCCATTTATTTCAAAAGTGGGAGACAAGCTCCACTAAGTGTATGTACGAAATGGTGAGGGGAGAGGAATTTAATTCCTCTCCTCTCAAATGTTCAAAGTGTATTTTATTTGACATCAATAATTTTTATGATATAAAATAAAATACCCAAAATATTTTAAAACAAGTATATAAAATATACTTTAAAATAGTTTTTGTCAAAATAACTATTTTCATAATTAAAATGACACTCCAAAATAAAATATACTCCAAAACATATTTTGATATATGTATTATTGTTATTACTACACCGTACGTACGCATATAAGTAATAATGCATACATAAATATGCACACCACCATACATACATATATATGGTGTAAAAGTATAAAAGTTTACTAAATTGTAAACGTGACATACACATATATATACATTATTATTATAACAAAAAAACGTACGTACTAAGTAATAAATACATATACAAAATATATTTACATATTTTATTTTACTATTTTACAATATACAAATTATATATTATCCCTTCTTATAATCCTACTCTTTAAATTGTCCAAAGTGTGTGACCCATATAGGCACTTATAAAACTGGCCACAGTATTGACTCTACACCAATACTATAAGTAATAAGCGGTATCTAGCAACACATTATTACCCCCAGATTATAAGTTCAGACGTTTGCTCCGTCAAAACCTTTCTACGACTAAGACTTTGTATAACGTAGATCCTTTTGTCCCAATGTCTTAACTTAGTGCAAGGGATATAAAATTATCCAACTTGTAGCCATTAAGTTACTTACTGATTAACAAGTCTGACTGATGAGAACAGATGTCTAAACTCATCTCAGCATGGCCATGCATTTCTTCAGTCATACTTATCAGTGGGCCCCTACAAGACATCATTCTGCTTGAGTAGCAGTGACAAATTCTTTGTACATAATCTACGTCTTCGAATACGTGTAGCGGCATGCCCAATACAAAGCCTGTATACCATCCTTATTTCATACGGCTTAGGACAATGAATCAAAGCATGCGGGTCCACACATTCGAAGAACGTAATACTTCAAGTCTGAGGATCGTTATACAAATAGTCGCATTAAGGACACTTAGAGCATAGACTAAAAGTCTAGGCAATGTCCTTAAGGTGGGTCAGGTCTGGCATCCTATTATTAACGATAATATCTGCCCGAGAGTAGATGCGAACACTCCGTCATTGACCAAGAGACTAGGTCAAACATCTAACTCTCACTAGTCTCACGCGCACTAACGATATCCCGCTCTCCTTAATGCTTCGACTATAGACCGTTTAGAATTATACTAAGTGACAAGATGTCAGTCTCAACATCAGAAGACTCATTCTGATAAACATCTTATAATATAATTCTAGGAATGCAATTAAGAGTTTACATTAACATGAGATGTTTGTAAACTTAATGCATCTGCCTTTACATGATAGAAAATCATTAAGATATTACAATAGCAGTTGGCCATAAGGGCACCAACTCCATCAATCTCCCACTTGCACTATGGCCAATCTGGCATTGGTCGAATGCCCATTGACCTAGTGTGACCCTCATGCTTTAGCTTTCCCAAGGGCTTGGTCAGGGGGTCGGCTATGTTGTCGTCTGTTCCTACTTTGCAAATCTCTACATCACCTCTGTCTACGATTTCTCGTATGATGTGATAACTTCGTACAATGTGCTTGGTCTTTTGGTGAGATCGTGGTTCCTTTGCCTGTGCAATGGCCCCAGTGTTGTCGCAAAACAACGGGATTGGGTCATTAATGCTAGGAACCACTCCAAGTTCAGAAATGAACTTCTTTATCCAAACACCTTCCTTTGCTGCTTCAGCAGCAGCCATGTACTCAGCCTCTGTAGTTGAATCGGCGGTTGTGTCCTGTTTAGAACTCTTCCAGCTAAAAGCTCCGCCATTCAGGCAAAACACATACCCTGCTTGTGACTTGTAATCGTCTCGATCGGTTTGGAAGCTAGCATCAGTGTAACCAATCACTTTCAGCTCTTCCTCACCTCCATATACCAGGAATGCATCCTTAGTATTCCGAAGATACTTTAGGATGTTCTTGACCGCTGTCCAGTGTGCTTCACCTGGATTCCCCCGGTATCTGCTGGTCACGCTTAAAGCGAATGAGACATCAGGTCTAGTACATATCATGGCATACATGATGGAACCAATTGCAGAAGCATATGGGACCTTCATCATGAGTTTCTTCTGCTCGGGAGTAGAAGGACTCTAGCTCTTGGAAAGAGCCGTGCCAGGTATCATAGGTAAGGATCCCTTTTTCGAGTTAGACATGCTAAATCGATTAAGGACCTTATCTATATATATGTACTTTGACATAGACCTATCAACTTTCTTGACCTATCACGGTAGATTCTTATGCCAAGGGCATAACTAGCATTCCCCAAGTCCTTCATGGCGAAGTTCTCGCTCAACCAAGTCTTTACAGACGTAAGAGCAGGAACATCGTTACCCATTAACAATATGTCATCGACATATAAGATTAGGAATACTATCACACTCCCAATGACCTTCTTGTAAACACAAGACTCGTCAGAATTCTTCTCGAAACCAAAACTAGTGATGGTTTCATCAAAGCGTATATACCAACTTCGAGATGCTTGTTTCAATCCGTAGATTGACCGTTGTAGCTTACAGACTTTGGCAGATTCACCAGCAATTGTAAAACCGTCAGGCTGTGTCATATAGACATCCTCTTTGAGGTTCCCGTTAAGGAAAGCCGTCTTGACGTCCATCTGCCAAATCTCGTAATCATAGAATGCTGCAATCGCAAGCATTATCCGAATGGACTTCAGCATCACAACTGGAGAAAAGGTTTCATCATAGTCAATTCCATGGATTTGTCTATAACCTTTTGCTACCAATCTAGCTTTGAAGGTATGAACCTTCCCGTCTACGTCTGTTTTCTTTTGAAAATCCACTTGCACCCTATGGGTTTTATCCCTTCGGGCGCATCAACCAAGGTCCAAACTTGGTTTGTGTACATAGACTCCATTTCGGATTTCATGGCATTAAGCCATTGTTCGGATTCGGGGCACGTGATTGCCTCGAGGTAGGTCTCAAGTTCGCCTTGGTCTACCAGCAAGACGTCACCTTCATCAGATACAAGGAAACCGTATCTAACCGGAGGATTACGCATCCGGTCTGACCTACGTGGTAAAACCTGAGCCGGTCGAGATACTAAATCTTGACGCTCGGGTTCCACTGCTGTTGAGATCTCTTCTTGTGGTTCTCGAATTTCTTCGAGGTCTACCTTTCTCCCACTAGAAATAGCAGAGAGAAACTCCTTCTCAAGGAAGGTTCCGTTCCGAGCAACAAAGATTTTGTTATCGGTCGGATGATAGAACTCATACCCTTTCGTTTCCTTAGGGTATCCCACAAATTTACACCTGTCAGATTTGGAATCTAGCTTACCAGACGTCATGAGGCGTCTAACGTAAACATCACAACCCCAAATCCTCAAGTACGACAAATTTGGTTTTGTCCCACGCCATAGCTCGTATGGTGTGCTCTCAACAGCCTTAGATGGTACGCGATTGAGTGTGTGTGC